GGTCTTGGGTTTTGGGTCTAGGGTTTAGGATTTAGGGTTTAGGGTTTATAGGGTTTAGGGCCGTTTAGGGTTTAGGGAGTTGCAGTGCTTCCTGTATACTTGCCTCTATAACTTTGCCGGCCGACAACCAAGTCCGGATGCAAAAAGGGTTCAGCGACGCAAGCTGTGCTAGTTACCACGATAGGACAGCTGCAGGTGTGGTTCCTCTTGTGACTTTGCATGTTCGCCTCTCGCTGTCATGGAGCATGGCAGGCTCTTCCCCCCCCCAACTCCGCAATCCCGAAACCCCAAACCTCGCCAAAACCCGGGACCGTAAATCGCCCAGACTTCAGGAAGAGGGAGATCAAGGAGAAGCAAATGATGGACAGAATGAACGAGTCTCGGAAGATGGCCAACTCGGATTCAGACGCTGATCAGCATCAGTGGGTCGTGTGCTGTGGGCTTTTTAAGATCCCCGTTTCCTGCAGCAGAAGGCGTGGTCTAGGCCACGTCGAGGCCCCCGGTGTTTGGGTACATGAGGCTGGGTGGATTAACCTAACCCTTACCCATACGCCGCTAAGTAGTTCCTTTTTGGGATTACCTTATAGGATTCTATATATAAACCACAAAAAGGACCTACTTAGGGACCTATACGTAAACCCCAAGCAAAAAAACCTTTCTCGGAGGTGGCAGTCAGTCGTCCTTGGGAAGGTTGTGCAGTTCTCTTATGTTCAATGCGACATATACTAACTTGGGAACCTGCTTAAGAAACCTTGTTTCTTGTCTTGGGGCTCATGATCTGGATCCTAACACGTTGGGGTTATAGGGCCAGGGTTTCTTGATCATATTCCTACATTACCGCCTATGAGGTCTTGCAGCACAAAACTCTGTGTTTTCAGAGCGTCATTGAGAATTCTCAAAATTTCTGAACATGAGTCATGTCCCTGGATCCCGGAACCCCAGTTAACCGTGATATGCTGTCAGGAAAATGTTGCAAACAGAAGAAAAGCTGCCGACATTATATCTGAGTTGCACCTTGGCCATGTATGGATGGTCCGAATTCTGATTTGGGGGGGCTTTGATCGGATCCACAGAGTGAAGAGACTCATATGACTCATATATACTACCTGAGTAGGTGGCCTTTCAACCTTGTGCATTTTATGCCTACTTGGAAGGTTTGTCCAATCCCGTCTTGGGGGGGTTACCTACTCCGATTTATTGGGACAACAGGTTTCTGACATTCATAGATCTCCGGGGGCGAGTTGGAGTTTGAGGGTTTATGGGTTTAAGGGCCATCGTTGGAACCGTGATTTTCCGTCTAGTGAGACGATGTCGTTGATGAGGTTGCCTTTGGTCACAGAAGTCGCCTTGCGCACCTTCTCTTTTGCTCTATCTTTCTCTCTGTCCCTTACGGCCGCCGTGCGTAAGCCTCCTCCTCCTCCTCCTAAGGACCTCCTCCTCCTCCTCCTACTACTACTACTTCTTCTACTTCTACTTCTACTTCTGCCTCTGCTTCTACCTCTACCTCTACCTCTACCTCTACCTCTACCTCTACCTCTACCTCTACCTCTACCTCTACCTCTACCTCTACCTCTACCTCTACGACGACGATGACGACTACTGCTACTGCTACTGCTGCTGCTACTGCTGCTGCTGCTGCTACTACGACGACGACGACGATGACGACGACGACTATACAATACTCCTCCTGCTGCTGCTGCTGCTACTACTACCACCACTACTCCTGCTGCTACATCTACTACAACTACTGCTACTACGACGACGACTACGGTTCCGACTACGACGACGACTACTAGTACTACTTGCACTACTAGTACTGCTAGTACCTCCTAGTACTGCTAGTCACTACTAAGGCCACTATTGCTCATACTACCACCACAACACCACTGCCACTACCACTACCACTACGACGATGACTACAACTGCGACTGCCGCTCCTGCTGCTGCTCCTGCTACTGCGACTGCTGCTGATGCTGCTTCTGATGCTGCTGCTGCTGCTGCTGCTGCTGCTGCTGCTGCTGCTCGTGCAGCTGGTCCTGCAGCTGCTGCTGCTGCCAGAAAGTCTCTAGATCAAGATGAATGTCTAGAATTTAGGCGATGAGTTGGTGATACTAGGGAAATCCCACCGGCTTTCCCAAGGCATAAGCGCACCATCTATGCCGAGCTAACTCAGAAGCAGGAGCTGAGTGAGTCTGGGAAGCTGCCCAATCAGCAGGCTCTCGTAGTTTTGGGCTCTTCGAGCGTTGCAGAGTGAGTAGTTGTATGTACCCAGCCTTTGGGAGGATCCGACAAGTAGATCCCTTAAGGGGGTTACTATACGTACAGTATGCTGTAGTGCCATAGTAGTATAGTCATTATAGTAGGATACGGTCCCAGATCCGGGTAGACCCTAAACCCTAAAGCTGTTGCAGCCGAAGACTTCGAGCTGATTCACTGTTTCAGAAGTCGGAGGCTCGAGGTGGCATAGGTCGCTTGCACGATTCAAGGGCTCAGGGCTTTGGGCTTCGAGTTTCCATAGGTTCTAGAGATGAAAAGCCCGCAGCTCAGATTTTGGAGATGACAGTGACTTTTGGAATATTTGTGCTGGCTTTCCCTGTTGTGGGGAGTGTGTTCTCAGCAAAAATTCAGCGTCTGTTGCCAGAATGGTGTATACATGACCCGAAATCCTAAACCCCACGCGAAACCCTGCAATTCTGGTGAGAGATCAGTTGATTCAGGAAGATTGGGTTCCTGTTACGGATCTTGGTGACCAAAATGACGAAGCCTTAAAGCTCATTACTCATTCCTGCACCGTAGGCTAACTTCTTTGGGCGGAGGGGGCAGGAGTGGTTCAGAAGAACACTGCTTCTTCCCCTCGAATCATCCACCCCTGGAGGCAGTGAGAAGCTTAAATTTCATAAATCCCTAAATCTTAGCCCTTAAACCCCAAACCCTAAACCACTGAAGGCCGCCTTCTTCCTTGGAGCTGCCCTGAATTGCCGCAATCTCTAGACCCTGAAGCTTGAACCCTCAAGACACCTCCTGCAAGCTTAGCCCTAGGCTGGTGGGAGGAAACATCGTAACCTTCTGAAACCCTTTCCATCCCTTGACCCAAACTACCTTACACCTTGAATGAATGAACCGCACACCGTTGCCGTAAGCTTTAGACCCCAGCTCAAAAAGCCCGGAGTCCTGCGCTCTACCTTAAACCCAAGTAGAACGTGTTTATTTTAAGGACTTGCAGACCATAGTGAGGAACACTACAGTACTTTGTAGGTGTGCTATGGGGCTTAAATTGCCTAAATCCCAATGTGACATCCCAAAACCCTACATACACCCTGCGCCCTAAACCCTGCTGGACAGAAGCGCCGTTCGCCGGTTCCGTTGACTGCAGATCCTCCCCAGACTCCCGACGACGCCTGCCCTGCAAAGACTTGACTTCGGCCCTTCCAGGCTTTAGGGTTTTGGGGTTAGGATTCCAGGGTTTAGGGTTTTTGGGGTTTCGCATTCCAGGGTTTAGAGATACGTATAGAGTCCCCTGTAGTTCCTTTGCTTGGTTTTAATTTTTTATTCAGGATACGGTAACCCAAAAACAGAAGTACGATGGACACTATAGGTAGTGCTCATTCACTTTTTGTATGGATTGGGATTGGGGGTTTTTCGTTTCTTCTGTGGCGGAATCGGTTCAGTATTTAGGAGTGAGCATGAGGATTTAGGGTTGGGCTTTCAGGGCTTAGGTGCGGCTTAGGATTCAATATTCACAGTCTAAAACTTCGGATTTGGATCGTTTGAGGCTTTTGCAGTAGGGCTTTTATGGTTACATAGGGTTTGGGGTTCAGGAATGCACGAAGATTATAATTGAATTACAGGCTCGGGTGTCGTGCATGTTATTGAAGAGTCACTATGTATCTATGTATGTATGCATGCATACCATGCATGTATGTATGCACATATGTCTATATGCATCCCTCCGTCTGTACGTACGTACGCACAGACATACATACGTGCATGTCATGTAAACACATAACCAACCATCGTTTCTTCCTGCCTCGGCTTCTGTGCGATGATCTGCCAGTGTTTCTCTGCAGACGTGGCCGCAATAGGGGCGATCTACTATGGGTATCTGCATAATAAGTGCTCAGTGCTAGGATCCCCTTATAGTCCTTACCTACATAAACTATGATATACCCCCAAAAACCGTTCGAATCAGCCCTTCCTCGGTGTAGTTTTTGCTGGACGTTGCTTCGTAGTTTTGAAGGCTCCCAATATTAGAACCCTACACCCTGCAGCCTAACAAACTGCAACTTGAGAAAGGCACAGCCTTGTTGGATGATCACATGTTGTTGCTACACTTGCAGTGGTTGCAGCAATATTTAAGAACTCACCGGTGCCTTCAGTGCATGGCACAGAAGTGTGAGAGAGTGCGTTCTGATGCATGCCTGCAGTCCCTCGCCAGTCCAGCTTCTGAACCCCCAACCCTATGCACAGAGACCTCGGCCTGACTGGTCCGAGATGCCCAAAAACCCTAAACTAAACCCTAAAACCCTAAACTCCAACACCCCAAGCCCTAGACCCCAAAACCCTAGACCCGAAACCCCTAAAGCCTAAGCCCTGAAAGAAGGTCTCCAAACAGCCAAAGCGGAGTCCTCTCGTTGCACTGAAGGCCGAAGCACTTCCTGAAGGTCTGGTCTTTTCGTCGGCATCCAGAGGGCTTCGTGTTTAGGGCTGTTTTGAGGTTTAAGGTTTAGGCTGGAGGGCCTCGGGGGTTGAGGGTTTTGAGTTTAGGGTTCTGGGTATGGGGGGTTTTGGTTTGTGGGTTTGGGGCTTTTAAGATTAAGGGGTTTTGGGTTTAGGGCCAATTGTTGTCTTCAGATCCGGAAACAGGGCTGCAGGAGGCTTTGCAAGAGGCAAGTGCTGGTAGGATGCGGATTTGAAAGACGGTCCCGATAACACCCACCACAGACTTTAGAGATACGAGAAGTAGAATGTACCCGACAGCCTTGTCGAATTCTCTTTCGTTGATCCTTGAAACCTGCTCGTGATCACGTCGCGTCGTCCGCTTGGCCGGGGTCAGGCACGGGCATAGCGGAGGGGGGAGGGGGTGGGCCGTGGGGGATGCTGACCAAGCCCTAAAGCCCGAAACTCCACATTGATACACAAAACCAACCCACAAATCCTTGCAAACAAGCACGGCAGAACCCTCTAATTTCGTCCCTAACCCGGAAATTTCCGAGGATTCTCCGGTCAGCGATGTGGTGCAAAAGACGCCCACTTCTGCACGTACCGGCCTGAGAGGGCTTGAGGTTTAGGTCGTTAGTGCTGGGGCTTTCAGGTTTGAAGCTTCGGTTGCTTCATGTTCTGTGGGCTTTAACCCGGCTTCATCAGGGTTCTATAAAGGGGCCGGTGTGGTGTGCTTAATTTTGTGTTTATGATGCTGTGACATTGATTGCTTTCGTCTTGAACACTTGTTTGTGGAGCATTACGGGGGTTCTATATCGGTTAGCACGGGCTAACACTTGAGAAGTTGAGGGTGTGCTGGAGTGGAAAACGTCTTCAACATGAAGGGCCTTTGGTAGTTATCTTGAAATGATCGGTGTTTGTTCTTCAGGTTTGCGAGGCCCTTGAACAGCCCTAACTAGGCCTAAACCCTCTAAATCCTCTTGAACCCTTTGCTAACCATGGTTCTCCGCTGTACTACTACTGTACTGCTACTCTACTAATCTATTACTGCACCACTATCGTGCGACTGTGCTGGTATTGTACTACTGCCTGTACTAATGCGGTAGTACTAATGCACGACTGCTGCACCCTGTACTACTGTACTATACTGCTTACTCGTGTACTACTGTATCATACCACCTATCTCCCTCTAGAGAGCCGTAATACATGTGGGGGCGGGAGGCGGGCAGGGGCACAACACCCAGTGCAACAATAGATTGTGTAATTACAATATGCTGTCAGAAGTTGCATATGCAAGTTTCGGATGGTGCTTTTCTGAGATTTTCAGAATGGGCCTTGTGCCGTGTAATGTGAGGTGTCAAATATCATGCATGAGTTGGGGCGAGGAGGTGTAAGTTAGAAGCTTGCTTCAAGGTTCGGAATTGAGGCCTCAAAGTTTTAGGGGCTTCAGCATTGTGGCTGGTGTGGAGGCTCCACTGCGGGGTTTGCTGAGCTTGCGGAGGTTATGCTCCGAAACCATTATAAATTAACAGCACCCAAAGCTGAACTGTTGGGTGGACATGAACAAGGGATCATGAGATATCCCAGCCTTATGTTTTTTGTTTTTTAAGTTCTTCTTTTGGGGGGGAGGGGGGTCCTTATATTGACGGGAAACCTCAAGCCCTGAATTCAACCGTCGATTCACGTCTCCTCCAGAAAAGTCATGACATCCCTCAGAGTCCCTCATGTCCCCTGATAGTCCCGAATATCCTTTATGGTCGTTACTACTCCTAACCCTTATACTGTATAGGCTTCGATATCCCTCTAAAAAGCCTTACAGTCCCGAACACCGCCTCATAAAACCCCAAACTTTGGCCCTAAGCCCTAGCCTCCTAGGCCCAACTCGAGGTTTGCAGGGAAGAAACACGATAACACCACTCAGCTCGGAGAAGAAGATTCAGATCTTGCAGATCAAAGCTGCCCTGGCTTTTTTAAAGGTTCAGAGTTTTTGGAGCTTGAGGGATTAGGCTCAAATTGGCATGTTTCGATTGAGGTTCAAAGTCTTTCAGGGTTTTAGGCTTTGAGAAGCCTGTGGCATGGACACTTCGCCAGGTGTGCCGGGAGCTTGTTTGCATCACAACACATGCAGAAGCCTAAGGGCCTAAGGTGGCCCGATTGCCTGAACTCCTGCACGCAAGACTGCCCCAAGTGTGTGTCACACCACGTTCGCACACCTTTTGGACATTCCGGTGCCACCTTTTTTTGGCTGAGCTTCATGGGGCTTTCGTTTAGACGTTTAGAGCCTTGGGCCATGGGTTTAGTGGTTGGGGAGTTCGAGAGAGCTGCTTCGATATAGAATACAAAGGTGTCCAGCCTCAGAGAGAGAGGGAGAGAGAGCGAGACAGAGACAGAGAGATAGAGAGAGTCAGAGATGGGGGCCTGGCTCTCTCTTTTGGACAGACAGAGAGAGCGGTTCCCGAACTCCCGAAGCTGCAATGCTTCAGTACTTCTTTGCTAAACACGCACTTTCCTGCAACGTTTGTTTGCCCCCCCTTCGTCTATTTTGGGGCACCGGTTCTCATCACCCCGTTGCAAATGCAACCTGTGTTTACAAATGGCAAGGACTAGGACCAGCCTCAAATGTACGGCGTGAAGCTTGCATGGTGGGTTACCCACAGAGTCCTTCAAGTGAATCTACGGCTTGCGACATCTTGAGTTTAGGGCTTATTAGGTCGTCGGGTAAGTAACCTCCCCCCACTGGAGCTGAGAAGCCAGATACAGCTTGAATTCTAAACTGCATCTCACCTACAAAACCTCCTAGAAAGCCGGACGCCCACTAGAATAGCAAGGGGTGAGTCGCTTGCTTATAAGAATCTAAAGAGACTTACCGTGGTGATGCCCATAAGCAGTAAAGCAATCATGCTGCCAACAAGAGAAATGGTCCCGAAAACACCTTGACAACAGGATCCATACCATGAGCATGCAGGCTACGGCTGAGGCTTTGGGCGTCATGGTTTTGGGTGGAAGGCCATAAACCTGAAACCTTGCATCCTAAACCTCAGTAGCTGCATCACGGGTAAGATGGCCTCTTACTCAAAGGTAAGACTTAATTGGTTGACTTTGGCCGTCACAGCAAGGAAAACCCTAAACCCTAAACCCAAAGCCGTGATGTGTCTTTGTAAGGTTCTCTCAACCAAAGGACTTCGCTCTGCTGACAGCCACAGAACGCCGGAGACCTTCTGCGCAGCCTGCTATGACATCAAAGTTGTCCAATTTGGGGGGGGGGGGGGTACTGGGAATTAGACAATAGAGCTGTGTTTTTTGTCTTGTCGATTTCGATCTCTTTACAAGTCGAGGTCGAGGGTTTAGGGTTTTGTTGTTAGAGGGACAGCTAGATTTTCGTATGATATTCCTCGGCAGGGACACAAAGTTACGGACCCAGAATGTCAAGTCATCCCCTACATGTCCGCTACAATCCGGGGTGTTGCGTTGAAGTGCAAACCTTTGCAAAGTGTATGCCACTTTGCGATGCAGAATTTCCGAACCCCAAGACCCTGAAGCCCTAAGGAACTAAAGCCCGAAAGCTCTATCAGATCTGATGGTGTCACGGTGTCCAAGGTATGCGAGCTGGTCGGCAAGAAAGGCACCAGATGTGAAATCGGGAAGAAAGGCGTCAAAGGCGAAGTGAAGGCACACTCCTCTGCGAGGTTTAGCAGCCTTGATCAGGGCTTCATACGGTTGTTCAGAGGGTTTGAGCACAGGGGCCTTAGTAGTTAGAGTAGGTTGTTGCGGATATCTAGTGATATCTATGCGCCGGGAAGAATAGCCCAAACAGCATCAACAGCAACGGCGATGACCGAAGCCGAAGCCGTCGTCGTGGTTGGCCTCGGTGACTGTGTAGCATGCATCTGACAGCCACTCGGATGCTTCAGCACATCCCCCATTAGAAACAGTCGCAGGGTATCTTGTGTCAGAGATAGACGGAATAGACGGTCCCACCAGTGCCAGCTGCAGTTCCCCAAGAAGTGGCAAGAATGGACTTCAACCTGCCCTTGGGCCAAGTCTCGATGGGCCATGTCTCAATGATAAATCCGCAGGAGGGCTTTGGGTTTTCAGGTTCAGGGCGTGGCTCAGGATTTCAGGTTTACTGAACCACGACCGTTATAAGTATCTGAACCATCATGATTGTTGCGTCGCGCAGATCACTTGCAAGCTCACCATCATCCTTATCATCATCGTTGAATGCCAGGCCTAAAGCCAACTCCGCAAACGCATGCAGCAACCACGCGTCTAAATGGCGGTAGCCCCTATGAACCCTAAGACCAAGCTTAAACTCAAAGCGAGAATCCCACAAGAACACCAGATCTCAAGCTGCAAGCCGAACCTAGCCTGGTCGAAATCCTCCACCGGAGCCTCCACCCAAAGCCCCCGGCTACCCAATAAAAAGCCTTCAGCAAGCAGCGCGAAGCACAATCGCAGGCCCCAAACTTTCAAGCCCAGGACCCTGAAACCGTCAAGCCCTAAACCCGAAGCCCTAAGCCCAAAGCCGTCGCAGAAGACGAACACCATGCGCTACGAGTGGAATCAGCTTTTCGAAATAAAGAACTTTGAGGAGAGCCCTGCGCTCAGAAAGCGCGTGGAGTTGTCTCTGCTGCTTTAGCAGCGCAACCTGTGGTCGTACAGGCTTTCTTATTCCGTAACCCTAGAAAGCTTGGAGTTTATAAGGTTTAGGGTTGAAGTTTGGGGGGGAATACCTGTAGTCTTCACTGCAGTTCGTTTGCTGCGTTGCCTCATAGGGCACTAAGCATAGAACTGGTTAAGCAAAACAGAAACTACCGTTGATGATAAAAATCCTGCATTACCCATACTAAAGAATATACCACAATTCCCGTAGTTTAGGGTCCGATGGAGACTTTTGGTGGGGGGGGTGTGTCGGGTTTGGGGTGATGGAGTGCTGTCGTTGCAAGACTAGGTGACTGGGTCTTCGCGAAGTAAGCCCTAGAAAGTTAAGAGCTGGGAACATAGGGGTTCAGAGTTAAGGCTTCAGGCGTTAGGCTTTATGGTTTGGATTTTTGGTAATTTAGGGTAGAAAACGGCCGACCACGCTCACCGGAAAAAAGACGGCAAGCCCTACAGGCAAGACAGGACAAGCCCGGAAGCAGTTAGAGCCAGAAAGCTGATTGTAAAGGGGCCGGGGGGTCGGTCAGAAAGCTTGAGATACGAGTCCTCATCAAGCGAACTTTGTTCGTAACTATTTCAGTCTTAAGCCGAAGATGAAGACCTCACTGCACGAGTCTGGGTCTGAGAACGTAATCTTGAAGCCTAAATAGGCAGTCAAATTATGCTGTATAGGGCTCCTTCTGGTAGTCATGATACAATATACCGAAGTTCAACCAGAGCAGAGGGACGTGGATCCAAACACTGAGTCGGTGTTGAGCGCTTGAGTAAGTGTTGATGGGATCCTCTTAAGCCCTGAGGTTGAGGGTTTAGGCTTTAGGGTTGTTGTAGACCCTAAGGGTCCAAGTAGTCCCTATTTATGGTTTTTGGGCCCCAAAGTCCTCAAATAATGATTACTTGGACCCTTAGGGAGAGTTAGAGCCCATGTGAGGCTTAGCCCTATGGGTCCAGAATCCTGGCCCGGTGCAATGGCAGCGAAGTTTGCGGTTTACGGTTGATAGGTCTTGTCATATCAGGTGAATGAATCCTGATCAGTCTAAGAGTTTAGTTATTTCGAAGCCTCCCTACGTGACAAGCGCAACTCATCATCACGGTGTGGGGTTTATAGGGTCACGAGCCAAGCCCCTAAACTCTAAACCCCAAGCCCTTAACCTCAACCTCGAAGCCAAAAAGCAGAATCCGGCAAATTCGAGGTGACGACCTGAGCTTTCAAATCTTCGACTACGACTTTGAACCCTGGCCGCTCCATTGGTCTGCGGTGACTTTCAGAAAACACGGGGAGGCCCTTGGTTAGGGTTTGGGGTTTAGGGTTTAGGACCTTGGCCTTGGTTCCTTTCATTTGCATAGCTTGGGTGTAAATGGGCCCTGACTAGGACCCCTTCATTAAGGACCCTTGCAGGACCGTTCTGAGCAGAAGTTTTGCTTTCATTTCTTGGGTTCGCGACAATTGGGTGTGTTGGGGCTTCCCAACTGCCACAGCTAGCCAGGGTCGCGAGTGTAACCACAAACGGACATTCATCCTTTCGCTCGTTCCTTGGCTAATTTGCTGAGTGATTGGTTGGTTGGTCGGTCGGCAGGTGGGTTGCCTCGTGCAAGTTGTAAGAGTCGAAACCCTGAACCCTAAAACCCTAAGACCTTTAAAAACCCTATCCTCCTTGATTCCTCTGACCACCTCAACAGAGGTCAGAGGAAGCAGAGTCAATTAAACCCACAAGCCGTCGACCTTCATTTCCGGCAAGGCAGGGCCAAGCCCCTCAGTTTTGGCGACCCCCTAAAAAGTCGAACCCGAAGCCTCGCCTTTCTGTGCCTGGCTGTGAGCCCTAAACCCCAAGCCTTAAACCCCCAAGCCCTAAACCCTAAACCCCAAAAGCCTAAGCACCCTAAAACCCTAAACCCTACACCCTAAACCCACAAAGCCTAAGCCCTAAAGGCGTGGCTGGAGCTTATTTGGTGCAACTCAGGATTATAAGCACGAGCTCCTCGGATCCGCGATGCTGCGAGGCAGTGTTGAGGGTTCAGGATTTTTCGGGGGGCTGGTTGGGGTTTGGGGTTTAGGGTT